AGCGGCTTCTCCCGGACGAAACGCGGCGCCTCTACGAGCGGCCGGGCTCCGACTACGTCGTCCAGCTCGCGCTCCGCACGGTCACGCGCGTCGCCGACGGCCTCGGACATCGCACGCTCGAGCTCCGCTGCGTGCTGCCCCGGGCCGTCAAGAAGGCCACCGTCGCCGCCCTCGAAGACGCCGGGGAGGCCTTCGGCGTCACCTTCGCCATGACGCCGGGGATGGTGCGGTGGGTGTGAGACTGTGAGTACGGCCCAGAGTGGTGCTTGCCAAGGTCACGACGACGACCGACGCGTTCCGCGTCTGCTGCTGCGGCTCCGTCGTCACCGCCGCGCCCACGACCGACGACTCGCAGTAGGCACGGAAGCCCGATCTCACGACCACAGGCCTAAAGTTCTCTCTCTCTCCCGCCCCGGGATCCTCGCCGTATGGGTGCGGCGCCTGTTTCGCCTCGATGTACAGAAGGCCTCGTTGAATGCTTCACTACTAGGTTCCTACAGTAGCGCCCGACCGAGACTTTTGAACGCGCAGCACCGCCAAGCGCCGCTGACCGCCGGCGCCGTCGCAGCCATGCGCGTCGACTCGCCCATGATCAGCTACCACAGCCTCGAGGGCGGCAAGAGCGACCGCATCATGTCCGTGGACTGCCACCCCGACGCGTCCGACGGCCTCGTGACCTTCGCGACCGTCGGCGGCGGCGGCGAGGGCGACGTGCGGCTCTGGTCCCTGGCGCCCGACGCCGAGGCGCCGGTCTACCGGAGCAGCCTGCGCAAGGGCCACGACGGGTCCGTGAACTGCGCGCGCTGGAGCCCCGACGGCGCCAAGCTCTGCTCCGCGGGCGACCGCGGCACCGTCTGCGTCTGGAGCGGCGAATCGTCCGCGGCGTGGTGGCGGGGCCTCGACGACCGCGACGAGCGCGCGACCTGCGGCCACCTGAGCCACAGCGACGACGTCTACGACGTGTGCTGGAGCCCCTGCGGCGCCTACGTGCTGAGCGGGTCCATCGACGGCGTCGTCACGATCTGGCACGCGGACGCGCGGCGCGCCGTCAAGGTCGTCCGCGACCACGCGCACTACGTCCAGGGCGTCGCCTGGGACCCGCTGGGCACGTGCTTCGCGACGGCGTCGTCGGACCGCACGGTCAAGGTCTACGCCCTGCCGGACAAGTGGGCGGCGAGCAAGAAGCCCCTCGCGCCGAAGACGGTGCGGTTCTGGGGCGACGAGCGCGCGCGGCGCCGCCGCGAGAAGGCGCGCAAGGACGCCGGCGACACGGAAACAAAAGAAGAGCCCCGCGAGGGCCTCTTCAGCTCCGAGATCGCCCACGCGTCCTTCTTCCGGCGGCTCCAGTTCGCCGCGGACGGGACCGCGCTCGTCGCGGCCGCGGCCGCGCGCGGCGACGCGCAGGGCGCGGCGGCCCTGCTCCGCGACGGCCTCGACCGGGGGCCCTTCGCCTTCCTCGCCTCGCCCGAGGGCGCCTGCGGCGGCGCGCGCGCGTGCCCCGTGCTCTTCCGCCGCGGCGCCGGCCCGCCGCGCGCGCTCGTCGCGCTCCTCTGCCACGACGCCTTCGCCGTCCACGACGTCCGGAGCGGCCGGCCCCTCGCCGTCGGCGCCGGCGGCCACTACGCGGCGCTCACGGACGGCGCCTGGGCGCCCGACGGCTCCGCGCTCATCCTCGCGTCCGCGGACGGCTACCTGTCGTTCGCGCGCTTCGACCCGGGCGAGCTCGGCGAGCGCGTCGACGCGCCGCGGCCCGCGGCCGCCGCGGAGCCCGCGGCCCCGCCCGCAAACGACGAGGCCGCGCCGGGCACGCCGCACGCCGCGCCCGCGGCGGCCGCGCCGCCGCGGCCCGAGACGGGCGACGCCGCGGCGTCGCCCAAGAAGAAGAAGCGCATCGCGCCGACGCTCCTCGCGCCGCCGACGCCCAAGAGCCCCGCGCCCGAGCCCGCGCCCGAGCCCGCGGCGCCCGCGCCCGCGGAGCCCGACGCGCCGCCGAAGAAGAAGAAGCGCATCGCGCCGACGCTCCTCGTCGCCGCCTAGGCGTAAGTTGGGACGGTGTGCCCACGTACGCCGCGGGCCCTGCTCGAGCGACGACCCCTTAAGCGGAGGCTAGCGCGCGTCCTTGGGGCTCCTCCGGGCCGCGTCGCCGACGGGCACGGCGACCTGGATCACGGGCCGGCGCTGGAGGACGCCGAACCAGGTGGACCGCGCGCGCGCCTCGCCGAGGAGGCTCGTCGGCGCGACGTCGCCGTGGCGGTCCCGGCACTCCTTGGCCGTGCAGACGACGCCGGTCGCGGCGCGCACCGCGCGCGCGACGTCGCCCCAGTGGACGCGTTCGCCGGGCGCGCCGGCGTCCCGCGCGGCCTCGATGAGGGCCTCGTCCGTCGAGGCGGACCAGGCCGGCGACGGCGCCTCGTCGACGCGCCGCTCCGGCGCGTAGGCGACCATGCGCCGCCGCGTGAGGTCCGGCGACGGCCGCGACTCCATGGCCGCGAGGTTGCTCAGCGTCCGCTGCCGCGCGCGGGCCGCGGAGTGCGCCGCGACGGCGGCCATGGCCATGGCGGCCGGCGCGGGGGCGGGGCGGGGCGGCGGCGGTGGCAGCGAGAGGGAGGGCTGCCCCGCCGGGGCAGCACGAACCTTGGAATCCACGCGAAGGCTTCAAGGTGCCGTCGGAGAGCGCCGCGGCGCTGGGGGGGCTGCCGCGCTGCTCGGCGTGCGGCCATGTCGATCCGCATCGAGACGCACGTCGGCCGCGAGGAGACGATGAAGTGGGGCCCGCCGCTGTCGACGGTCGTGCCCGACATCGGCGAGCTGCCGACCTACGACGGCCTCAAGCACCGCACCTTCGAGACGCGCGACGAGGCGACGCGGCGCCCGCCCTACGCCGTCTTCGAGTCGAAGACCGTGCGCTTCGCGCCGTCGAGCGGCGAGCACGGCGCCGAGTTCGCCGACCCGGAGGCGCTGCTCCGGGGCGAGTCCAAGTACGGCGCCGTCCTCGCGCGCGAGGCGCCGTTCCGCGCGTCCGGCCGCGGCGACCTCATCCGGAGCAACTGGCCCCAGCTCATCCGCAACGCGCGCCTCGAGGTCACGCCCGACGTCGCGCCGCCCTACGACCCCCGCGCGCGCAAGGCCGAGCTCCGCAAGCTGAAGCGGAGCCGGGGCCCGCGCGGAAATCGACCGGCGAGCCGGGACGTCCCGACCAAACTTCGAACTTCTCCGTCACATCGAAGTCGTTTTGGCTGATTTTTGGACGAATCGATGGTTCTCGTCGAGTTGTTGAAGCACACGTGAAGAACTTTGCGTCAAAAAGGTCGCATACGCTCACGGTGAAGTCGGGTCGAAGATTCGATCGCCGCGCAGGCCGCGGCCGCCGCATCGACGACGCGTACCGCGGCCCCGTGAATCTGGCCGTCTTCGCGTCGGAGATCCCGCGCTTCGCGGGCCCCATCGTCGTGACGCCCGCGTCGACCTTCGCGCGCGACAACGCGCGCGCGCGCGCGCCGAAGAAGCGCGACGTGCCCGTGCCGCCGCCGCCGGGGCTCTGGGACCCCGGGCCGCACAACCCCTGGCGCCACGAGGGCGTGCCCGGCCTCGGCGAGCTGCGGCGGTCGTCGTCCTTCGCCGACGGCACGCTGCGCGACATGTGGGGCACGTGGCGCACGCTCGACGCGCGCGGCTGGTGCAACAGCCACGGCCGCCACGGCAAGCAGCCGGGCTTGGACCACATCCCCGGCGGGCCCGCGGCCCTCGTCAAGAACCGGTACCGCATGCACGCGGAGTTCATGCCCGAGTGCCCGCGCTTCCCCGACGACCTCGAGCTCCTGAAGAAGATGCTCAGGAAGCGCGCGGCAGGGCAGCAAAAGAGAGCGAAATTCCCAACTTCAAAGGCTCATATCTCGGCCGTTTTCCACTCGTTTCGGCTGATTTTTGGACGAGCGATCATCTCTCGGAACGGCCTCGAAGCGTGGATGCTTTTTCCGGAACGCGCGCGCGCGAAACACTCACGTGGAAGCGACGTTGAATCACCCTTTTGCTGCCCAGGCGCGCGGCGCGCTTCGGCCGCCTCGAGGCCGCGCGGCGCGCGGCGCCGCGGCCCGACGACGAAACGCGCGGCCGCGGCGGCGTCGAGTCGCGCGACGACGAGCCGGAGATGGACGCGCTCGAGGCCCTCGAGGCGCGCGTCCGCGCGCGGTCCACGGCGCAGCCCACGCCGCCGCGGACGCCCGAGCCCCCGCACCGCGCGACCTTCGCGGGCGATTCGCTCGGAGCCGCGCCCGCGCCCGCCGCCGAGGCGCCGAGCCCCTCCCGGGGGCCCAACTCGCGCGCGTCGTCGCGGCCCCACACGCCCGCCGAGGCCGTCCCGCGCGACATCCGGGCCTACTAAGTGGCCTACTAGGTCCGACCTCTATATCACGAGCAGGCCACCGAGCTGACGATGCCCGCACGCTCCAACCGTTGCATTCGTTTATTCGTACCGTGATGGCGTCGTTCGAGGCGGGGGCAGCCCCGGGCGACGTCGGCGTCGACGCCGCCGCGAACGCCCCCGCCAACGAAGCGGAGGCGCACACGGCCATGGCCGTGGACCGCTTCCGCGAGGCCGTGGCGGCCGTCGCCGCGCGGCAGATCGCGGCGCGGCCGCCCGGCGCCGCGGCGCCGGCGCCGGCGGCGCTGCGCGTGGAGCGGGCGGCGGGCGCGGAGGCCTTCCTGCGCGCGGCGGCGCCGGCCCTGCTCCTGCCGCGCGCCGACGCCGAGTTCCTCACCCTCGAGCTCGCGGCCGCGGCCGCCGCGGCGCGCGACGAGGCGGGCGACTACGTCGTCGTCCGCGAGGGCGAGGCGATCGTGCTCGGGGCCCTGCGCGCGCCCATCTCGTCGGCGCCGGGCGTGCTGCGCCTCGCCGGCGACCCGGGCGACGGCCGCGCCATGCTCGCCGCGCTCCGCCTCGCGGACGGCGTCGCGGCGGCCGCGGACGCCGGCGCCGCGGACGCGCTCGAATTCTCCGGCGTCGACGGGCCCGCGGCCCTGAGCGAGGCCTTCGCGCGCCAGCTCTGCTTCCGCCGGCGCGCGCGCGAGCCCGAGACCCGCGGCGGCCTCCGCGTCTTCTCGCGGCGCGCGGCGTCCGCGGCGCCGCCGGCGCCGGCGCCGGGCGGCGCGTGCGCGGCCGTCGACCCGCGCGACCTCGCCACGGCCGACGTCCTCGAACTCGCGGCCTGGCTCGAGGCCTGCGAGGCCGAGGGCGGCGTGCCCGAGGACCGCCGGACGCCGGGCCTCCAGGCGCTCGCGCGATTCGCGTCGTCGTCCGGCGACGCGGCCGTCCCCGGCGTCTACGTGCGGCGCGCCGGCGGACACTTGGCCTGCGTCGCCGGCGTCGTCGGCGACGCCGCGAGCCCCGGCGGCCGCCGCGTCGGCCTCGTCTACACGCCGCCGGACCTCCGGCGCAGAGGCCACGCGGCCGCGCTCCTCGACCACGTCGCCGCGGCCCTCCTCGCCGCCCAGGGCGACGCCCCCGGCGCCTTCACGGCCATCGTCGTCGGCGCGCCGCCGCCGGGCGCGCCGGCGCCGCCGCCGCTCGACGGCCTCTGGGCCAAGGCGGGCTACGCGCGCGCGGCCGAGACGCGCGAGTTCGCCCTCCCGGCGCCGGCGCCGACCGACGCCGCCGCCGGCGGCGGCGGCGCCGACGGCGGCGGCGGCGGCGGCGACGGCGATGGCGCGGCCGCTCCGGAATAGGCGCTTGGATAATGGTGAATTGCAACTTCGAGAAGTTCGAGACCGCGACGAGCGCGAACGCGAGAATGGCGGGGCAGCTTACCATCTATCTCCGTCGTTCTTGGCCGCAGGGTGGCCTGTCAGCTGCTCGGGGCAGGACCTCGGCACATCGAATCTTTGATCACTAAAACGACCAGTTTGCTCGAGCTAGAGAGTGAGCTGCGCCGCCGCGGACTACCACCACGCAGCGCCGCGGCCGTCGGCGCCGCCCTTCGACCTTACTGCGTCTTCAAACTGGAGGAGTACTCCTCATCACCGCTGTTAACTTTAGGCACCTTCAACAATGCATCTCGCCAAACAAATTGGCCTGCTTGAAGACAAGGCTGCCCACAGCCTGAGCCCGATGGCCATTGTCTGATGTCGTGGGACTGCGCCCTCTGCGCGAGAAGCTGCGGCGCGTCGCGGAAGCGGTGCTCGAGATGCAAAACCACAATTTATTGCAGCGTCGAGTGCCAGCGGCGGCACTGGAGCGTGCACAAGGTCGTCTGCCAAGCCCGGGCCGTCGCGCCGGCACCGGCGCCGCCGCGCGCGGCGCCGACGCCCGCGCGCATCGAGGCGCCGCCGCGCGCGGCGATCCTGGGCGTCGCGCGCGACTGCGCGCGATTCCTCGGCCCGTCGCTGCGCGCGCTCGAGCGCGTCGCGGAGAAGCTCTTCGACGGCGCCGCGGCCTGGATCGTCGTCGAGAACGACTCCGTCGACGACACGGGCGCCATCCTCGAGCGCTTCGCGGCGGAGCGGCCGCACCGCCGCGAGGCGCTGCGCGCGACGGGCCTCGACAAAACGTTCCCGCGGCGCACGGAGCGCATCGCGCGCGCGCGGAACCTCGCCCTGGAGCGCCTCGAGGCCCGGGGCTGGCTGGAGGGCCTCGACTACGTCGTCGTCGCGGACCTCGACGACGTCAACGCGGATATCGACGTCGCCGGCGCGGCCGCGGCGCTCTGGCACCTCGAGGTCGGCGGCGCGGACGTCGCGACGGCGAACCAGCCCCGGACCTACTACGATTTGTGGGCGCTCCGCACGGAGGCCTTCGACGTCAACTCCTGGGTCCTCGCGCACCGGCGGAGGGTCGTCGACGAGGGCCTCGCGGCCTTCTTCCCCGTCGCGCGGCCCTTCCCCGCGGGCTACGACCTCCGGCGGGACGACGTCATCCGCGACGAGGTCCGGTTCTCGACGCGCGCGCCGCCCGTGCCCGTGCTGTCGGCCTTCGGGGGCCTCGCCATCTACCGCGCGGCGAAGCTCAAGGACCGGCGCGACGCCGCGAAGCTCGCGCCGGCGCGCTACGACGGCGCGGACGCGGCCATGGCGCCGCCGGCGTGCCACCCGCTCTGGTCCGGCCAGGACTGCGAGCACGTCGCGTTCCACGCCGCGCTCCGGGCCTACCACGGCGGCGCGCTCGCGGTCTGCGTCCACCCGCGGCTCCTCAACTGCCCGGGCCAGGCCGCGCGCGACCCACACCTCCTTAGAGCGTGAGCCGGCAGGCGACGTCGGCCCGCGTCGCGTCCTCGAGGCGGATCGTCGGGAAGTCGTAGAGGCGCTTGAGGTCCTGGAAGTCGGAGGAAGCGCAGTCCGCGACGTCGCGCGCGCCGTCGCCGAGCGCGCGGAGCGCCGCGACGGGACCGAGCCTGAGCGGGAAACAAACATATGCAACACGACTTCAATATGCATGGAGTCGCACGGTTTCGACATGCTTGCTTCCCTACCTGGAAAGAACTCGACGAGAGAAAACGACTCGTCCAAAAATCAGCCGAATCGACGTCGATGTGATCGAGATAGAGAAGTTTTGTTGGACGGGGCCATTCCACTGGTTGTTTCCCGCGCAGGCCCGAGCGCGAAGCGCACCTCGCAGACGACGCCCTCGAAGAGGATGCGCTGCACCGCGTCGTGGGATGACTGCCGGCGCCGGTCCAGCGGCGGCCCGGCGGCCTCGTGGCGCGCGACGAGCGCGGCGTGCGCGCGTTCCAAAGCGTCGTGGCCGTCGACGGCCACGGCGCTCGACAGCGCGTCCAGCACGTCCGCGGCCGCCGGCTCGTCGCCCGCCGGCGCGCCGCGGCGGCCCCGGCACCGCGCCGACGGCTTGAGGGGCGCGTGCGATACCGCGCCGAAGGGCCCGAGCGCGGCGTCGACGGCGGCGCGGAATTTCGGCGCCGCGAGCGCGAGGGCCCCGTAGACGTAGCGCGCGTAGGTCGTCCGCCCGTCGCGCGCGTCGACGCGGAGCGCGAGGAAGGCGTCGTCGCCGCCCTTGGCCGCCAGCGCGCCCGCGCGCGACACGACGTCGGCGACGCGCGGCGACCACCCGTCTTCGCGGACGACGGCCGCGGACGGCCGGCCGGCGAAGCAGGGCTCCACGGGCTGGCGCGGCGTGTCGGTGCCGCCGTCGGCGCGGAGGGGCCGCGGGGCCGCGCCGGGCACCGTCGCGTACGCCGCGGACGCGACGGCCGCGACGTAGTCGAGGAGCGCGCGCGCGTCGCTTGTCTGCGCGGCCCGCAGCAGCCGGAGCGCGGGCTCGCGCGCGGCCGCGGCCTCGGGCTGGTAGCAGAGGGGCTGGCGGCCGTAGCGCTCGTGGGGCCGCTGGTTGCTCGGGTCGAGGAGGAAGGCCGCGACCGCGTCCTCGACGGCGGCGAGCCGCGCCGCGAGCGCGTCGGCCAGGCGCTCCATCTCGCGGCGCTGGATGCCGTTGAGCGCGGCCCAGGCGGCGTCGTGCGCGCGGTCCGCGAAGCGCCGCCGCGGCGCCGCGGCCGCCGGCGCCGGCGCCGCGGCCGCGCGCCGCGGCGTCGCCGGGCGCGGCGACGGCGCGGGCGTCGGGACCGCCGTCGTCGGCCGCGGCGCCGGCGCGGGCGACGGCGCGCGGCCGAGGTGCGCCTCGAGCTCGCGGAAGGCGCCGACGAGCTTCTTCTTGTCCAGGGACGCCTCGGCGAGCGCCGCGACGTCGCCGGCGTCGAGGACCAGCAGCGTCGGGCCGTCGATCTCGTGGCGGCGGATGGCGTCGCAGATGGCGCGCGGCCGCTTCCGGCGCTCCGCCAGGGCGCAGACGTCCTCGGCGGTCATGTGCAGCATGGTTGACGCCGACGCCGCGCCCATGGGAAGCAGGTTTAAGGGAAGGTTTATTGCAGCCCCATCATGGTCAGGGCGGGCTCACCCGAGCACCATGTCGTTGCGCGCGATGCATCGTGAAGTTCAGGGGGAGCGGGTTTTTGTTGCGGCATTTTGTGAGATCGTCGACCCGACGCCTCGCCGGGTCGCGGGCCGTCGTCGGCGTCGTCGGCCGACGCCTGCGCTCGCACGCGCTCCGCGCTTGCACCATGCGTCGGCGACGACGCGCCGCGTCGAGGCGCCTCGCCGACGTCCTCCTCGTCGCCCTCGCCGCCTCGCAGACGGCTCGCCGCGCGGCGGGCGACGCCTTCGACGACGGCGTCGCCCTCGCGCGGCGCTTCGCGTCCTGCCGCCGGAGCGCCGCCGAGTACGGCCGCCTCGAGCGGTCGACGGCCGCGGCGGCCGGCGGGCCGAGCACGTTCACCGCGCAGCAGGTCGCTCCCTTCCGCGCGGCCGTCGGCGGCGACGCGGCGCCGCGCGACGTCGTCTACGTGCGCAACCAGAAGGTCGCGAGCCGCTGGTTCCTCTTCGGCGGGGGCCTCGCGGCCGCCGGCCGCGCGCCGCCGCCGCCGTCGCCGCGGCCGTCGCTCGAGCTGCCCGTCGCGCTCCTCCGCCACGGCCCCGAGACGCTCGCGACGCGGGGCAACCGGCGCTTCGCCGAGCCGCAGCGCCTCTGGGACCGCTGCGACAACGGCAGCTTCGGCTTCACCTTCGTCCGCGACCCGCTCGCGGCGTTCCTCTCGGGCTTCGTCGAGGTCCTCTGCCGGCCGCGGCAGAAGCGGAGCGACCTGGCGTTTCTCGCGCCGTCGCTGCGCATGCCCCGCGGCAACGCGACGGCCGTGCTCGCGGCCTACGTCGCCGACGCGCGGCGCGGCGCGCCCCTCGGGCGCCTGAGTTTGCACACGTGGCCCCAGGCCTTCCGCGTGGACGCGCGCTGCGCGCCGCTGCGCTTCGTCGGCAAGCTCGAGGCCTTCGACGCCGCCTTCGACGCGCTCTTCCCGGCCCACGCGCCCGCGCCCGCCGCCGCGCACGGCGCGGCCGAGCGCAACGCCGCGCGCGGCTGCAAGGCGGACGTCGCGCGGACGCTCGCCGTCGACGGCGACGCGGCGCCGGGCGCGCCGGGCGCGGCGCTCGTCCGGGAGCTCTGCGCCTTCCTCGCCGCGGACTACGCGTGCTTCGACTACGCGCTCCCGCGCGCCTGCCGCTAGTAGTTGCCGTTCACCTTGCTCTTTCGAACAGGCAAATTCGCAATGGCCCTCGTCGATTGGGAGCTTCCTGTCGCCTAGTTGGGAGCTTGAGCGCGCGCGATGGAGCTCCAGTCCGTGTCGCGGCTCAGCGGCGGCCCGCCGCCGTCGCGGTCGCCGGCGCGGAGCTTCGAGTCGCCGGTGCGGGGCTGGCAGCGGCGGCCGAGCGGCGGCAACCACGGCGGCGGCGGCGGCGGCCACAACCAGTCCGGCGACGCGCTGGACACGACGCTCGAGCTCGACAGCTCCGACATCTACGGCCACTTCGAGCAGTTCGGCGCGAAGGCGCTGTCGACGCTCGGCGCGCTCGGCGGCGCGGGCGCGCGGTCGACGCTCAGCGGCGCGCGCGGCGACGACGCGCCGCGGGGCCCGCTCGCGCGGCGCGCCGCGCGGCTCCGGCGCGCGTGGGCGGTCTTCGCGCGGCGCGCGCGCGCGGCCTGGAGCACGCACTACTTCTGGCTCTTCCTCGCGTTCCTCGCCTTAGGCGTGTCCGTCGCGGCCTATTTGATGGACGCGAGCGCGGCCGCGCTCCACAAGGCGCTCGTCAAGGGCGTGAGCGGCGAGGCCGGGCGGCCGCCCGCGGGCCGCCTCGCGGGCTACGTCGCCGCGCGCGTCGCCGTGACCCTCGTCGCCGTCGAGCTCACGCGGCGCGTGTCGCCGATCGCCGCCGGATCCGGCATCCCCGAGACCAAGTCCGTGCTCGCGGGCTTCTCGCTGCCCGGGTTCCTGACGCTGCGCACGCTCGTCGCCAAGGTCGGCGGCGTCGTGCTGCTGCTCGGCGCGGGCCTGCCCGTGGGCAAGGAGGGGCCCTTCATCCACACCGCGGCGATTTTCGCGGAGCAGCTCCTGTCGCTGTCCTACTTCCGCGTGCTCAACGACACGCCGGAGTTCCGGCACCAGATGCTGTCCGCGGCGGCGGCCGTCGGCGTCTCCGCGGCCTTCGGCGCGCCCATCGGCGGCATCATGTTCTCCATCGAGGCCACGGCGACGTTCTACGTGACCGCGCACTACTGGGGCGCGTTCTTCGCGGCGACGTGCGGCGCGTTCGTGAGCCGCGAGCTCGGCTACGACGACTACGCGGCGTTCAGCCCCAACTTCAAGAAGCTGCCCTACAAGCACTGGGAGATGCCCCTCTTCTTCCTCCTCGCGGCGTTCGGCGGCCTGCTCGGCGGCCTCTACGTGAAGCTCTTCACGGCGATCGTCGGCGCGCGGCGGTCGTGCGCGGAGGCGCGCGACCGGGAACCCGCCGGCGGCGCGGCCGCGGCGGCGCGGGGCGCCGTCGAGGCCTGCGTCGGGTCGAACCTGGGCTTCTCGGCGCTCGCCGCGGGGCTGTCGGGCGTCGCGGCCGCGGGCGTCGGCGACTTCATGCACCTGGGCACGCGCGAGGTCCTCGACGACCTCTTCAGCGACGGCCCGCTCGCGCGCGCGCGCAACGGCCACATCCACGAGCGGTCCAAGTGGGAGGACCAGGACGGCGGCGTCGTCGGCGCGCTCGTCTACTTCGTGCTCTTCACGTTCGCGTTCTCCGCGGCGTGCGTGGGCCTGCCCGCGTCGAACGGCCTCGTGACGCCGTCGTTCGCCATCGGCGCGGGCGTCGGCCGCCTCTACGGCGAGGTGCTGCGCTTCGCGGCCGCGGCCGCGGGCGCGGCGACGTCGCCGTTCTCGCCCGCGGGCGGCTACGCGATCGTCGGCGCGGCCGCGTTCTCCGTGTCCGTCACGGGCAAGATCTCCATCGGCGTCGTCATCTGCGAGCTCACGGGCCAGCTCTCCTACGCGATCCCCGTGCTCTTCGCGTGCGTGCTCGGGCTGGCGGCGGGGCAGGTCGTCGAGATCGACATCTACTCGATGATCGCGCGGATGAAGCGCCTGCCGCACTGGCCGACGCTCTCCGCGGCGGCGGACTTCGCGCTGACCGTCGACGACGTCTTCGACCGCGACGAACACCTGTCGCGGTCCGCCGTGCCCCTGCGGACGCTGACGTCCGAGGGCGGCGCGGCGAAGCTCGCGCCCGGCGCGCGGCGCCACGTGCTCGAGCGCGCGCTCCGGGCCACGACGCACGGGCTCCTGCCCGTCGTCCTCGACGGCGACAGCGAGGCCTTCGTCGGCGCCGTGCGGGCCGTCGACGTCGACGTCGCGCTCCAACTCGCGGCCGACGACGCGACCGGCGCCGCGGCGAACCGCGGCGCCGCGGCGCCGCTCCTCGACGTCCAGGCGACGTGCGACGTCGACTTCACGTGGCCGCGCGTGAGCCGCTCCGCGAGCCTCAACTACGCCTGCTTCCTCTTCGCGCTCTACCAGTGCGGCCGCGTCTACGTCGTCGACGACCGCGGCGCGCTCGTCGGCTACCTCGACTCGACGCGCGTCGAGGCCGCCGTCGCGGACCGCCGCGGCCGCCGGCGCGACGGCGACGAGGCCCACATATCCCGCCGGCGGGATATGTTAGCCGCCGCGCCGCTCCCCGCGCGCGCGACGGCGGACGGGGGCGAGCCGAAGACGCCCACGGGCGGCACGGCGATGGTGTAATCCTGAGGCGCGCGACTGTGCTGTGTATCCGCGCGCCGACATGTCGTGGCCGCCCGCGGCGGCGCTTCTGAGGCGCCAACACGGATCGTGGGCCATGGCCAAGTTCCCGTCGCGGTGCGCGAGGAAGGCGATCGCGATGGCGCGCCACTCGACCGCGGTCGCCGACGCGCGGTCGCAGGCCCAGACCCCGACGAGCCCCTCCACCAGAAGCTACCGCAGCGCGCTACTCCCCCACCCGTCGCTCGCACCGCGCGCGTCGTCGCCGCCGCCGCGGCTCCTCGTCGGAGGAACCGCCGGGCGCCGACGCCTCGGTCGAGCAGCTCCCACCGCGAGCGTCGTCGCCGCCGCCGCGGCTCCTCGTCGGGGGGAGCCGCGCCGACGCGCGGCGCGGTCGAGCTCCCCGCCCCTTTCCAGCGCGCTCCTGCTCGTAAGCTTCTGCACTTATGGCTGCCATTGCGGCGCAGACCTCGAAGACCCGGGAGGATGCGCCGCCGCGGCGTCCTTGGTAAGGGAGATCTAAACCGATCCCGGCCACTCCCGAAGGTGCGAGCCCCCGTCCCTACGGCGTACTCCGCGTCGCGTCGCCGCGAGCCGCGCGTCGTCCTCGGGCGAGAGGTCGGGCTTGAGGCCCCGGAACTTGACGGGGGGCGCCTCGCCGCCGAACTCTCGAGCACGGACGCGGACGCGGCTCGGCGACCTGCTCGACGAGTGCAACCAGGCTTCAAAATTCAAGGTGCCGCTCGGACCTCGAGGATGGCTCGCGCCTTGCGCGCCTTGCTTGCATAGGCCCGAGGCACCCATGGGCGCCCTGAGCGACGCGCCCTGGAAGCTCATGGTCGCGGACGTGCTCTTCTTCATGGCCTTTGGCATGTCGAGCGTTCTCGTGCCCCTGCTCATCGTCTCGCGCGAGCGGCGGCGCTGCCCGGACGACGACGGCGACCCCTGCGGCGCCGTCGCCGCGCAGCGCATCGTCGCGTACGGCCTGTGCGGCGGCGTGCCCCAGGCCCTCGCGGGCGCCTGGCTCGGCGGCGTCGCCGACGCGCGGGGCCCGCGCGTCGTGCTCGCCGGCTGCTGCGGCGGCGGCGCGGCCGCGCTCGCCGTCGCCGCGGCCGCCGCGCGCTACGACCTGCCCTTCGGCGCGCTCTGCGCGTCGGGCGCGCTCCAGGGCGCCTGCGGCGGCTCCGCGGCGCTGCTGGCCGCGAGCTTCG